AGTGCCCATTTGTGATCTCCATCCTCCAGCTTTGCTCAGATCAAATTGTCCCCTCTACCTCAAGTGCAGGACTTGTATAGCTCCTGGCTCCTCCATCTACTGAGCTGGGGGCACTTCAGCAGGCCATTATCTAATTACCTACCAGCTGTTCACAGACCTGGACACAGGCATGGTTAAATTGGACTGCTGTCCGGGACCCAAACAGGAAGAGGGCCCAAAAAAGGAAAAGAAAAACTATAATGGCAAAAAAGCAGTTTTAATGTTGTGCATATATAGGCCTTGCATTATTATCCATTGAGAACAAGCTATTTAAAAACATTGATACCACAGATGTGATAATGACTTTGTTGTTGTTGCAAAAGTCTCTCTGTCTGGTGAAGGAGGGCCCGATACTAAACCTTGACAATGTGGCGTACTCCTGGGTGAGGCCCCGAGTGATCTGGGTGAAGTACGAAGGTGGTTGCAACAGGGGCCAAGCCCTGTTACTGAGGGTAGGGATAAGCAGTAGAGGCAGAAAGCTGCAAATCATGAACAGCCAGTGCCGTACCCAGACTCCTGGCAGCCCCCGGTGAACTTTTAGTATCAGGCCCTCCTTCACCAGAGTGATCTTTTGTTGTTGTTGTTGCAAGAGTCTTCATCACCGCTATGGTATCAATGTTTTTAAATAGCTTGTTCTCAATGGATAACCCCCTAGACCCTGTGCATTCTTCAACCCCTTGCTGGGTCCCACTGCAAATGAGTGCCTTGTGGGACACCCCAAGCCTTAGGGGCTAGGTGTGTGGCTCCAAAACCACCCCTTTACCCCACCCCATGCGTCACAGATGGTATTCAAATACTGTCCCTCTAAGGCCTTAGGCTAACTTAGCTTCCTGCAGTCACTGGGCCCTTGGCCCCTGTCTGCACACCCTCTGGCACTGGGCTCTCTGCACTGCAGTGTACTCCAATGAGACCTCCTCCTCCCCCGTAGCCTCAGCCCGGTCCACCAGATTCAGCAACAACATAAATGAGCCCCTAGGCTAGAACCTAACAAGAACAATGACCCCAGAGGCCACCCTCTGCACCTTTAAGAGAGCCAGTCCCTCCCTCAGCAACGTGTGCCTCCTAGCCCCAGGTACTTGAGAAGCTCCTAGAGCCCATTAGTCTTACCAGCAGCAAAACAGGCAACCAATCAGCTCCCCAGAGCCTTTCAGCATACACTCCTTCCCCCCTGGCTGCTACCAGAGCACTAACCACCCTCAGCCCCAGCCCTGAGGCTTATATGTGCCCAGGTCCCTGCCTTCTTCCCCTCAGCTGATGGGGTGCAGGTGCAGGCTAATTCCCTCATTAGCCTGCTGCCATGGCAACCTGCACCTGTGGGGGCTTGGCTTGGCTGCTAGGGCCCTCTGGCTAGGCAGTTTCTGCCCTTAAAGGAGCAGGCACCTAAGTGCTCTGCGCCATATTATAATTACTTTATATGACAAACATGTCATATAAAGTAATTATATTATTCCCTGCAGCCCTGCAATGGGCCCCTGCCACCACCAGTGGGAGCTCCAGGCATCCCCAGGGTGCTAGCCCAGGGGCTGGCAGGGAGCACCAGGCCAGGAGGCAGTTGTCTCCTGCCCCCGGGGCACTGCCTGCTGCGGCACGGACATGTGCCCCCCCCCCAGCAGCAGGGAGCTCCTGCCCTGGCTCCCTAATCAGGTGCAGGGGGCTGGGAAAGAGCTGCAGAGGAGGGGCAGGACCCCGCCGCCTGCCCCGATCCACCAGTGGGGCGGCTAGCACCTAGCTTGGTGGAGCAGGGGGTTCAAGCACGGGTGAGGGGCTGGTGGGCCTGGGAACTACCCAAGCAACAGGGCGACTGCCCACCCTGCTGTGACCACTATCCAGCACTGCCTTCTGGACAACTCAGGTGTCCTGCCAACCTGCTCTAACCACTACTTCTCACTCCCCTCTGAGAGACCTTGGCGTCTGGGCCCCCTGCTTTAACCACTACCACCAACAGCTCTCCCAGGGAACCTGTGTCCAGGGACCCAGCCCCACCCTGCTCTAACCACTACCCATTGTTCCCCTCCCAGGGTACCCAGGTGTCTGGGTTCCCGGCTCTAAGCGTTAATCCCACCCCCCTCCCCAAGAAACCAGGGATCTGGGCTCCCCCCCTACCTTTAACCATTACCTCCAACTCCCCATCAGGGAACCAAGTAGTTTGGGTTCCCAGCCCCCCTGCTCTAACCACTATACAGCACTGCCACCCAAGAGAACCCAGGCATTCGGGATCCCTGCTCTAACCACTACCACCCAATCCCCTCACAAAGAACCAAGGCCAGACCAGCACCCTGCTCTGACCACTACCCAGCACTCCCTGCCCAGACAACCTAGGCATCCAGGTTCCCGGCGCCCTCTCCCCTAACCATTACCCGCCACTCCCCTCTACGAGAACCCAGATGTCTGGGTATCCTCCCACCCTGCTCTAACCACTCCCAGAGATCCCCAGCTCTCTCTGCTCTAACCACTACCCTCAACTCCCCTCCAAGACAGCCCAGGAATCCGGGATCCCAGCCCCCCATCTCTAACCGCTACCCAGCGCTCCCCTCCCGAGGAACCCAAGGGTCCGGGCTCCCTGCTGTAACCACTAACCCTTACTCCCATCCCACAGAAGCCAGGAGTCTACATGCCTACCAATCCTGCTCTAACCACTACCCATCACTCCCCTCCCAGAGAACCCAGGTGTCCAGGCTACCTGCTCTAACCACTGCCAAGCACTCCCTTTCCAGGGGACTCGCGTGTCCAGGCTCCCAGACCTCCTGCTCTAACCACTACCCTTCCTTCCCCACCCAGGGAACCCAGGCATCTAGGCTCCCTGATCTAACCACTACCCACTGCTCCTGTTGCAGAGAGCCCAGGAGACAGGGCGCCTGCCTGCCGAGCTGTGGCCACTACCCAGCACTGCCCTCACAGGGAGCCCAGGTGTTGGGACTACCAGCCCCCAGCTCTAGCCACTAGTCCCCACCCCTGTCCTAGAGAACAGGCCTGAGGTCTGCCAGCCCCGTGGTATAACCACTACACAGCACTGCGCTGCCAGGGAACTCAGGTCGCTGAGCTCCCTGCTCTAACCACTACCCAGCACCCGCCTCAGAGAGAACCCAGGCATCCGGGCTCCCAAGCCCCAGCCCCCGGATCTAACCACTATGCCCAGCTCTCCTCTCAGATAACCCAGACATCCTGGATCCCAGCTGCCTCTCCTCTAACCACTACCCACTACTCCTATCCCAGACAACCCATGTATCTGGGCTCCCTGCTCTAACCACTATCCCCAACTCCCCTCTCAGAGAACCCAGAGGTCTGCACACCCACCAACCCTGCTCTAACCACTTGCTAGCACTGCTGTTCAAGAGTGCTGATCCCAAAGCTCCCAGCGCCCCCTATTCTAACCACTCCACAGCACTGCCCCTCCAGAGAACCCAGGTGTCCAGGCTCCCAGCCCTCCAGGATGAACCACTACTCCCCACTACCCTCCCGGAGAACTCAGGCATCCTTGCACCCTCCCACCCTGCTGAGCACTCCCAACCCAGAGATCTGAGGCTCCCGGGCTCCCGGCTCTCTCTGCTCTAACCACTACCCTCAACTCCCCTCCCCCGCTCCCAGAACTCAGGCATCCACGCCCCCACCCCCCGCTCTAACCACTAGTAAGCACTCCCCTTCCAGACAACAGAGGCACCCAGCCTGCCTGCTCTAACCACTAGCCAGCACTCACCTCCAAGGCAACCCAGGTGTCCAGGCTCCCTGCTCTAACCACTACCCCCCACTGCTCTCCCAGAGAACCCAGGTGTCCAAGCTCCCAGGCCCCCTTGCTCTAACCTCTACCCCCCACTGCCCTCCCAGAGAACCCAGGTGTCCCAGCTCCCAGCCCCCCCATGCTCTAACCACTACCCCCCCTCCCCTCCCAAACGCCCCCTCGCTCTACCCTCTCCCCCCCACTGCCCTCCCAGAGAACCCAGGTGTCCCAGCTCCCAGCCCCCCCATGCTCTAACCACTACCCACCCTCCCCTCCCAAAGCACCCAGGTGTCCAAGCTCAGCCCCCTGTGCTCTAACCACTACCCCCCACGCCCCTCCCAAAGCACCCAGGTGTCCCAGCTCCCAGCCCCCGTGCTCTAACCACTACCCCCAAATCCCCCGCCAGAGAACCCGGGTGTCTAAGCTCCGAGCCCCCCGTGCTCTAACCACTACCACCCGCTCCCCTCCCAGAAAAACTTGGAATCTGGGTTCCCATTCCCCCTGATCCAAACAGGACCCAGTTCTGGTCTCCCAAAGAGCCCAGGCACCCACCTTGCCTGCTCTAACCACTACCCAGCACTGCCCTCCCAGACAACCTAGGTATCCGGGCTCCCAGCACACCCCCCCACTCTAACCGGTACCCCACACTTCCCACCCAGGGAACCCAGGTGACCACACTCCCTAGTCTAATCTTTCTCTCCACTCCAAGGGGTGGTGAGGGGCTAGATGATGACTGGGTAAACTGAGGCACAGAAGAGGGTAACCCCTGGAGGGGAGGGTGGTCTACAACTGAGGACTGTGACCCACCCCTCTCCCTCCTAGCAGGTGTGCAGGCTCCCCGCTCCCAAGGACCCCGCTCTCTTCCAGCAGCTGGGCATGGGGGTCTCCCTTTCACCGGGGCAGGGCCTTCCTGCTGGGAGCCCCCCCACTCCTCCCCGCCACAGGCAGCAGAGCCCAGCCCCCTGGTTCCTCTCCCTGCCCTGAGTGGCATTAGGGTCACCCCCCAGTCCCCTCACCACTGAGGTCCACCTGACCTTGACCCCTCAATGTCCCCTGAGGATCCCCATGGCCACGCAGATCCCCTATAGGTCTCCATCCATTAGGCCAGCCAGCCCCAAACCCAGACTTTATCCCATACCCTGGGCTGATGGCCAGCTGGGGGGCGGGGCTAGTTTGGGGGTGGGGGTGGAGCCAAGGGGATATATAAGAGCCCCAGGGAGCAGGAAGATAAAGAAAAGATGCTGGAGGTTTGGTTGGGTTTGTGGGTGCTCCTGGTTTGGCCCCGTAGCTATGGGGCTCCTGCTCCTCCACGTGCCCCGGTAGCAGTGCATTGCGGACCGGGGCGCATGGTGGTATCGGTGTCTCCAGACCTCTTGGGCCAGGGAAGACCTGTGCGCCCCATGGAGCTGGGGCTGGGGGGCTGTTCCCCCACGGGGCTGGGGGCTGTGGTGCGCTTCGAGGTGGAGCTGCATGAGTGCGGCAGCACCTTGGAGGTAGGAGGAGAGTGGGTGGGGCTGGGAGCTCAGACACCTGGGTCCCCTCCCTGGTCAGAGATGGGGTTGGGGGCTGGTGGATGAGAACAGTGCGGGATTTGGGATTAGAGACTCCCTGCTTTGTAACCTCCCTTCTCCCCAGGTGACTTCAGATAGCCTCATCTACAAGACCAGCCTTGTCTACCACCCTGCCCCTGCCCCTGTGATGCGGAGTCGGCCCCTGGTTGTGCCCATTGAGTGCCGCTACCCCAGGTAGGAGCTGTGGGCATCTGCCACCCTCCAGGCCTTGCCTTGGCCCCCTTCCACATGCATCTGCCTCCCTGTGATGTGTCCTCCTCCTTGCAGGCAGGGCCATGTCGGGGGCAAGGCCATCCAGCCCACGTGGCTGCCCTTTGCGGGGTCAGCATTGGCACACGCCCGGATGGGGTTCGGCCTCCGCTTGATGGATGGTAGGTTGCGGGGGATGCTTGGGGAACTGTGGGAGGCATGGAGGTGTCTACAGGGTGGTCCCTTTGGGAGTCGGGGATCCCCAAATGGTGTGTCTATGGATGTATGGGGTTGTCAGGGGGTCTGTATAGGACTCTAGGGGGGCTATGGAGGTGTCTGGGGGGTCTCTTTGGGAGTTGGGGGTCCCCCAATAGGGTGCCTGGATGTATGGGGTCCTTAGGGTGGAAGCCCTGGTGGGGTGGGAGAGCTGCTTCATGGTGTGGGGGTATCGGACGGCTGTGGGGTTGGGGTCTGTGGAGTAGTTGATGTAGGACCTGGGAGGTTGAGATTCACTCCCCCCCACTTCTGGGGGCTCCCATCCCTCCTTCTGCAGCTCATGGGGATGGAGGGGGCCTGGGAGCCCCAGACACCTGGGTTTTTTTCCCCCAGGGTGATGCTGATTTGACAATCTCCACAGATGACTGGCGTGGGGAGCGGCCCTCCAAGCTCCTTCGGTTGGGGGACATCCTGCACTTGCAAGCCGAGCTCCATGCGAAGAATCACGGCCCCCTACGAGTCCTCGTCGATGCCTGCGAGGCCACGGCCCATGGGGATGGGACTTCAGGTCCTCGTCACACGCTCGTTGCCCACAATGGGTGAGAGCTGGACCCTCCCAAGAGACTTAGGAGCTCCTGTGCTGGGGTTTTCTCCCAGCTCTGGGAAGAGGCGGGGTAGGGGAGCGTGGGGCTAGGTGGCTGGGTTGGCTAGAGGTGGGAGCTCGGACACCTGGGCCATTCCCAGCTCTGGGGAAAGGAGTGGGGTCAAGTGGGGAAGCCTTCCCCCTAATCTCGGCTCTTACCTCCAGGTGCCTGGTTGATGGCCGCTTGGATGGGGCCTCCTCAGCCTTCCTGGCCCCGCGGCCACGTCCGGATGTCCTGCGCTTCACTCTAGATGCCTTCCGCTTTGCCGGGGACACGGGAGACTCGGTGAGTAATGCAGAGCAAGGGTTTGGCCAGGTATTGCTGCTTCTCCCATCCAGCACGCAAAGGGTGAATGTCCTGGGTGAGAGGGACCCAGGACACCTGGGTCCCCTGGTCGGAAGAAGCTGCCTCCAACCAGCTCAGTGGTTTCACACCAATTAGACCTCCAAGAGCAGGGTTCGAATTGCACTTTGAGTCTGCCAAAAAATATATATTGGGCTGCCCTAATAATTGGAGACCCTTCCCAGCCCCCTCCCCGCTGTCACGGTTATGAATTTCAAACCTTTATAAGGGGGCTCATCTCTTATGGGGGAAGGGGGCTCAGGAACCCTGAGCTCCCATAATTCAAACCCTTGTCCATGAGGCCAAGGACTAGCTTTAATGAGGGGGAAAATCATGCCTGAGACACGTACCTCAAGTCTCTAGGAAGCTTTGGAAGTTGGGCCTGGGAACAGAGCATAAAAATCCAGTTTTATCCGCTCGTGCTCACTGAATGTCCCCAAAAATCAACACTCCTCTTAGAAGATGAGGGCTGGAAGGGACCTCAGGAGTTCACATCTAGTCGAACCCACTGCTCCAAGCAGGACCAGCCCCAACTACATCATCCCAGACAAGGCTCTGTCTACTGGCATCTTCACCTCCAAGGATGGAGCTTCTGTAAAACTTGATCTCAAAGGCTTAAGGAAGATTTTCTCTAGCCTGCTGGAAGGTTTTTAGAAGCCTTGCTAAAACTTGACAAACTTTTTACAACTGGGCTTTCCTACCTGGGAGAGCTTGTACCATCTCTAACTTCTCCTCTGCCAGATGAAGTTTCTTTTCTACCTGGGTCAGGTGTTCAGGTGATGGCTGTAGGCAAAAGGTGCTCTCTCTTATTAGACCAGCTAGATGTTTGCAAAAATATATGAAATTATACCACATGCATCTTCTCACTCCAGACCCTTCCTGCAAACTATTGATCAAAAATTTGTATATGGCACTTACAAGAGGAAACCAGCTCCAAACCATTGGTTTAAAGGAGTCTTCATTTTATCTTTTTATGATGCCTTCTCAAAAGAGAGCATGGGTTTTATTTCAGGGGCTGCAGGATGTGATGTGATGTGATGGGAAATAATGGTATCTTGAGTAGAAGAGGAGGTCCATTTTTTACAAAGGAGAAGAGGCCCATTAGCATCTGTAGAGTGAAAAGCAATTGGCAGAAATCAAGTCCAATCTTTATATAAAGAGCACATTAAGTCAATTGACTTGCTCCAATGCTGAGCAGCTGGTTTGGGTGGAGAAGGAATCAAAGGGTGCTGATTTGCACCCTATGCCCACCCACCCTCTCCCTTGTCCGTCTCTGGCCTCACCTTACAGGGTTGATCCTGCCTCAGGCAGGGGATCAGGCTAGGTGACCTCTGCAGGTCCCTTCCAGCCCTCATCCATGACTACTTCTCCATCCATGAACCATTGTAGTCCAATATGAACATTGCTGTTAATCCAAGTTGAGTAGTTCTTGGCTTCCCAGAAACGATGGAGGTCATCAGAGGCACATCTGGGTAGGAAACGGGTGTTGGGGAGGGTCCTTGGGCATGGATGTGATGGATCCAAGTCTTTTTTTCTCCTTGATAGATCTACATCTCCTGCCGTCTGAAGGTGATGGAAGCTGTCCGGGCACCAGACCCTTGGAACAAAGCTTGTTCCTTCAACAAGGCCAGCAGGAGGTGGGTTGGTTGGGTAGGAGGAGGATGAAATCTCTGTCCCCTTGATGTGATCTTGCTAAAGCTCACTTTTTTTTCCTCCAGCAAGCCACTTTTTTGTTTGTTTGAGGGGGTTGTTTTTCTGCCTTATTAAAGTAATAAGGGCTCAATTTCTTTCCAATTTCACCCTTTTCTGGAAAGGTATAAATCTTGGGTCTGCTTGGAAGAGACTATATCCATTCACATATCGCACCCTGTTCCTCCTCACTGAAGTGGGGCTTGCCATCCAACCAGTGCACTAATTGAGGCACGCAAAGCCACGAACTAAGGTCCACTGGATCTGGATGGTGGATCAAGTCTGGTGAGCTAAATTGTTGTCTCTCTTAGCTGGATCCCAGTCGAAGGCCACCCTGAGATCTGCAGATGCTGTGAAGCTGGAACCTGCTTGCCGTCCAGAGGAGACGCGGATGAGTTAGGCTCCAGGCACTGGCCTCCAGCCCCAGATGACCAGAGGAGTGCAGTAGGTCAGTTTTGGGGTGATGGTTTTTGGGGGGGAGGGTGGGATTTGGGTTATGACTCCAGGTGTAGACTGAATGGTCCAGGAGGCCTCTTCAGCTTCACATTCCTAGTCCCCACAGACTCTTTGCATTCCTCATCTGCACTGGTTTGGTCTCCCCTGGAGAACTGGGTCCAGCTTGGGGAGCGGTGGGGGCACACTAAGAAAGATGTCTGCTGGTGCCTGGAGAAGACTGAGTTGAGAGGGTGAAACATTTGGATCCCAGGCTTCTAACGTCCAAATAAAGGGTGCAAAACCTGAACACTAGAAGACCAGGATCCAAAGGACGGCCAAGAGGCCTGGCTAGCCTCCCCCTGGTTCTGGAAGGGGAGCAGAGGATAAGATGGATGATACTCTGCAACCACAGGGGATGGGACTCAAAGGGGCAACAGATGATGGACACTAGGAGAAATATTTCCCTCCTTGGAGGTAGGGTTCAGTGCTGGGACAGGCTTCCCAGAAATATCCCTCTTTTTTTTTTTTTTTGGACTGACCTTGGCTGGGCTAAATCTGCCTGGACTCTGTGACTGACTGTCTGCTACCTCCATGACTACGGTAGGCATCTTTTGGCCCACTGTGCCATGGAGGTCCAAGTGGGATGAGGCTTACCTAACAGATTTGGGGATATTTTTTTCTCATTGCAGTTCTACCGACAGAGCTCCCAGGAAGCCAAGTCCGTGCCATTATCGGCCCCCTCCTCCTCCAAACTGGGGATGGAGACGAAAGCTCCAGGCATCTTGCTGAAGGACCTGGTGAAGTGGAGGAAATACTAGCTGAAGGTAGGGGGGCTCCCTTCCCCTTCTGTCTGGCTACTGGTCCCATGGCCCACTTCTTTCCAAACCCATGGTCAACTTTGCTGGTGTGACTTTTTTCTCCTTTGCAATTAATTCTTTTGCTACTCGGTCTTCTTGCCAATTTGCTTGCGGAAAGTGACTTCTTGGTGATATTCCAGACTGACCCACTCCCATGGAAAGGAACATGTAGGGTTTCTTCCTCGAAGTGATAGGGTGGACACCTGGGGCTGGCTGAGATTTTCCTTGCTGCAAGGTCAGGGTCTGCTACAAGGGCACTAGAGCTGAGGCTTGCTTAAGAAGTTATCCTAGGGCAGCCTTGGTGTATTCCTTGCAGCAAGTGGCAGCACGGTGGGGAGAAACCTGGGGTCCCCAGGGATGTTTTTGGTCACTTTATTGCAAACTCTAGCCATGAACTGAACCCCCTTGTTGACTTATGTCCTTCTTCGCAATATCAGGGCTGCTGCTAGTGACCCCATCAAGAGCTGTTATGTCAACCAGCGCCCTGTTCCTTCAGGCAGGCGAGGGATCTGCTGACCTTCCAGAAGAAGCAAGCACAGGTAAGAGAACTGCTGTGGCAGGGAGTTTCTACCTAGTATTCGCTGCCGCCTTTCATGGGAATGGGAAAACCCTGGTTCTCTCACTTAAGACCCCTGCCACACAGCATATTGCTCAATTCATGGCTTAATTGCTTGATAAATTTAACCAGACATGTGCAAAATTATCACTCCATAAAAATGGACATCCAGCTACAAAGTGAGTGCTTTGAAATGTGATGTCTTTTACTAGACCAACTCAAGTAGCTGGAAAAATTCTTCTTTGCAAGCTTCCAGGGACAAGTAACCTTGTTTGCCTATGTCCTTCCAGGAGCAGGCAATTTATTTCAGGTGGAAGGCCACTTACTGAGTTGTGGCAAGCCATTGAGGGCCACATGATGGGCAGCCAGGGGCAGATAAATATTAATTTTTCTAAAATTTTTAGGGTCCCTGCAGGCTGGATAGAATGGCCTGGTGGGCTGCATTTTGCCCACCCTTGCCTTGGACCAACATAGCTATAATCTATACCCCTGCTTTGAAATGTCTAATCTCTTTTTACAGCTGGCTTCTATCCAGCTTTAATTTGTGTGGCAGGGCCCTTGGGGTTATCTGGGTTGCATGAGTTACCTTGAGGATCAGAAAGGAACTTGACCCCATAGTTTTGGGTGGGGGTTCACCTTACTTTGCAGCTGGGAAAGTAGCATGGGCCTCCACTGGTGGAGGAGTGGGGGGGTTTGAATTGGTTCCATCCTGGCCTTGCATCAGGAGCACCCTTGGGCCCCTAATGTGACTAGTTAGGCTTGGGGGTTTTGGATGTCTCTCTGGCATTGGGCCTGGTAGTTGTCTTTACAGTTTCTTCTACAGGTTGCCCCAAGGGCTGATCCGGGGCGTGCAGTGATACAGTTGCACCCCCTAACTCCTCTCTTATTCCTACTCCACCCCAACTTTTAAAACAAACAGCCTGGGAAGGGCAGAGGCACTCCTGTTCTCTTCAGGCTGGGGGGTCCATTGCCTCCATGGCTCATTGTCATAGAATCAAAGGACTGGAAGGGACCTGGAAGATCATCAAGTCTGCTCCCCTCCCATGGGCAGGAGGTTGGAGCTTGACTTTTTCTGTTTTTCCCCCTTGCTTTCTATGTACCTATAAAAGGTACTGTTGTCCTTTTATTTTGGGTGCCAACTTGATCTCCATGCCTGCCTTTGGCTTTCTGCATCTCATACCTATAGACCCTGGTCTTGTGATTGTACTCCTCTCTGGATGCTGAACTGCTTTTTCCATTGCTTATATGTTGCTTTTTTTTCTTTTTCAAAAGTTCCCTGATTTATATCCCTGTTGAGCCAAGTGGGTCTCTTGGCCCCTTTCCCACTTTGTGACCATGTGAGAATAACCTCTCGCTCTTTTGAGCAGTGAGAATTGCCCCCTTTTTAAACTCCATCAATCCTGAACTCCCAAATGGTCCAGCTTCCTGCTAATCTCTCCACTCCACGGGTGTTAACACCCCTCTCCTTTTTAACAGTCTTGAGGTTTCACTAGTCAAGCAAATAATTTCTGCAAGTTTGTCTGCGTTAGCCATGTCTAGCAATATTTCCTCCCATAGCCCTGCAGTGTGTGTGTGTGTGTGTGTGTGTGTGTCTCTTTAGTTGGATCTTAAAAAAAGGAAAAAAACAAACAAACCCTTCAGTCAGGTGTAGTAATATTACTTTGGGTGAAGAAATGACTGATTAGCGAAGCATTGGAGGTACCGTCAAGATGTTCAAGAAGACTGTTTTATCAATCTGAATAAGGCATGTACACTTGACTGTATAAGGACTGCAGAAATAATGGCACAATATTCCTTGATTTATTTTAACTGTTTCCCTAGTACTTGTTTTTGGGTGCTAGACTTCTTCAGTGTTTATTTTAAACTTGGGCAAAAGGCCAAGAAGCTATTTTTAAGATTAAGTATAATCTAGTAAGTAGTGCACTTTTTTCCAGTTATTAGTTTTTTGTTTTGGTCTTAAACTGAATAACCCTTTTAGACTTGGCCTCTAACATATTACTACAGTTCCTAGTTTCTCTTTAGCTGGGAAAAAGTGTAGTTTTATATGGGATGATGCACTCTACCTGCACCCCGTCAAAAGCCAAGATCTGTCCAGGGTCAAACCCTTGGCTAGGATGTCTGAGCTGTGCTGCTGTGGTGTGATCCCTGAAGTCATCTTCTTTGCCATGTTGTTTTCTCCTCTCCAGAGACCTCAGTCAGTGTGAGGGGTGTGGATCCTGAATTTGTAGGACATCTAAGCCATAGGGCACCTAGAACAATAGGTTGGAATACAGTGGGCATGTCTACACATGTGCATTGGTCCAACTTAAACTGCATTAAGTGTGCACATCTACATGTGTGCACCCTTTAATGCAACTTTAAGCTAACCCCACTTAAAATTGATACCCGCATAAAGCAGGTATCACACTTATGCATGAATAGCCAAGTCCCATTAGCGAATGTGTAGATGTGTTTAATGTGGTATGTATGTCCATTGACTTGGGACTAACTCTAGACCCAAGTGGGTCCATACACCACATTAACATGCCTATGCACGTGCATGTGTAAATGCACACCTAAATTGTCTTAATGCATATTAAGCTAATGTGCATTAAGCTTTAGGCATGCTTAAAAGCATGTGTAGAGCTTCCCAGTGGGTTGTAACACTGGTGTATTACCCTGTGCTGCCACAGAACCTGCTCCAATGACGGTCTCGACAGCATACACCCTGCATGGACAGTCCAATGCAGAGGAGATGTCTGGTGATGGCACTGAGGAAGCCACCAAGACCACAACAGGTAGGCTTGTGTGAATTTTGTTTTGTTGCTCTGATGCCAGTGGGTGAGATCAAGCACCCCAACTTATCACCATAACCCACCCCAGAGGCAGCTGCGTCTTGGTGCCAAGTTAACTGCTCCAGTCACCAGGAGGTGGGAGCAAGACCTTGGCCCAGCCTGCCTCACAGTATGCGAGTTGATGGGAGGGAGTGCTTGCACCCAAGCTTTGGGGTTCCCAGGGGCTGGGCAGGCATGCTGATGTACCGTGGTCAAATAGAGGAGTGAGGACATAGTTGGTTGGCAGCCATGTTGCTTTGATTGGCCGCATGGTGCAAAGGAGCTTGGGGATAAAAAATACCAACAAAAGGAGCAATAGAGTTCTGGCCACGTACCAGAATGGCCAGTTCCAGCAGAAGGAATGGAGGGACAAGGAGTGATGCACCATGGATGCTTGGAGGACTGACCAGGCCCATTGAATGAACATATGGTGTACCCACACCCCAAGACTGAACTGGTTCAAAATAGTACTGGATTGCTTTCTTCCAGGGACATGTTTGAGCCACTCCAGATGGCTTTAACCTCGGTTGCCCAACTGGTCACTAAATGTTTTAGATTATGCATAGTATTAGTTGTGCCTGTGCCCACAGAATTATGGGAGTTTTTTTTTCCTGCTCATTGCACAGATAAGAGCCCCGAGTTTGCATTTCAAGCAGAGGTGTTCTCTGATCTCCATCACCTTCTGGAGAGAGATGGAGAACCTACCGATGATATCCTGGAAAACCGAATGGAGGCTGCACCGATGGCAGCACAAGGTAAGGAAGTGGCATGAAAATCTGCAAAACTTTCTAGCCCCTTGCTCTCTCAGATTTTTGAGAGGCTAAAAATACTCCTCAGGGTTGGCAATACAGCATCCCCCTCTGCTTCACCTCCTCCCTCACATGGCATAGGCCTGGCAAGTGCAATAGTTCCCACTGCCTCTCGCTTCCCAGCCAGGAGCCCTAGAGTCTATTAACATCTGCCAGGCACTAGGACCACAGGTCCTAGCTGGGGTTGGGTATGTGGGGTTGTGCTTGCTGTTGCCAGATGATGGGGCAGTAAGGAGGATGCCTGTCTCTTCCCAGACGTCTTGACTTTCTTATGGTAGCTGCACGGACCTATGAAGGAATTCTCCCTCCCCTATTGCTAGAGAAGCGGGTGTTTTCTACTTCAGTATTGGGTGTTGGCTACAGCTACTAGCACCCTCCCATCTTGTCCTAACCCCCAGTTTCCCCTCTCAGGTGATGAAGAAACACAAGAATACATGCTGGGGCCTGCCTTGTTGGGCACTGCTTTATTCCTAGTCCTCACTACTCTGGGAATCCTCATCTTGGTCAGAAGGTTTGGGGGCTCTGTTCTCTGCCTTTGAGTGTGATGGCAATAAAAATGACAGGGAGGAAATGGACTTAGTGTTGGTGTCTCTCTTCCTGTTTGTTTTTTCCTGGAGAGGATCTTTTTTATGATAATCTTGTGCAGAGCTGCCTGAACTGGAATTTCCTTCTAGACTGGCAGCAGATGAGGGGGTGGTGATGCTATTGGACCCTGCCTGGGGTCCAAAGTCATGCTGAGAGACTGCTTCCTGAGGGCACACAAGTGACAATTTTCACTCCATCTGGCCACACAGTGGTTTATAGCCATGGCTAAACATGGCTGCAAGCTCCTTCAAAAATGGCTGATCGGGTGAAAATCTGATCCCTCATTGCACGAGGGATCAGATAGTGTCTTCTGTAACTTCTGTCTGTGCAGTGAGGGTCTAGATCCCACTCACGGGGCCAGATGAGCTGACTTCCCCCCCAGTCCAGATTAACCTCATCAGAGGGGAAGAGATTCATATTCAGCACTACGTTGCAGCTGGTCCTGCTGTGAGCAGGGGTTGGACTAGCTGTGACCTCCTAAGGTGCTATCCAACCCTGGCTTTCTATGATACTAGAGTAAGTGGCTACCTAATTCAGACCACAGAGAGGATCACCGTCTTGAGAAATATTGAGGTCTCAGCGTGCTTCTGGATTCAGGAACGCTTCCCCCTGCCTTTCTCTCTACCTCTGGCTACAGCTGTCAGGTGGGTGGGGGTTTTTATTTCACCTCCCTCCAGGGGCCTTGAGTGTTCACTAAAGGCAATCTCATAAGCAAAAGGGGTGAGGACTGGGGTAGCTGAGCCACATTAGTGGCCCTAGTGCTACATACAGGGCTTGTTTGCTGTGGAGGGGGATACCCAACACTACAGCCTCCCTCCCATGGAGAGGGGTCTCCCCTAACCAAACCATCTCTGCCCCATCCCTTCTCCAAACTGGGGTACCCATACCCCAAGCACAGACCAGATGCAGACTACCTTTATAGCATTACACGCTTTTTTTTTTTTTTTTTTTTTTTTATTAGACATAAAGCATTAACAGCTAGGATGCTAACCCTCTTGACTGAGCTGCCTCCTTCCACACACCCCCAGCTACTTGCTAGCTAAGCCCCTGCATGCTCTCCCCCTATTATGCCTCCAGCATTGCTTTGTTCCCCCTCAACTTCCAACCCCTTATATCCCTGCATAGCACAGCCCCCTGCCCCTACGGCTAGCTCCCCATCCCTGTGATCTCATTCTCCCCACCCATTTGAGCTGATGCCTGGGCTCCCCTCACATCAGCCTCTCCCACCTCCACCCTGGGTGCGGGAGGTCTCCACGCTACGCTCAGCGCCGGTTAGGTGGCACGGGGTGGTCCAGCTTGCCAACAATCTGCTCCAGGGCACGGATGATGTGGTCCATCTTCTGCAGCAGCTGCGCGTCCACAGTGGGGGGGCAGGCACCCTTCGGCTTTGAAGGGATCTGTGTGGGGTCTGTGGGCAAGAACAAAAACAGGCATCACCCTGGGCAGGCCGCCCCCCACCCCCAGCCCTGCCAGTGGGGTTTGGTACAAGAGGGAAGGAGCTTTGGCCATACAGCAGCTCCTAGTAGGGATCAAAGAGCATGGTGGGCTTGAGTGCTGACTACTGCAGGGTGTATCCGCTGTACCACTAAGTTTTTGAAGACCAAAGCAACAACTGCAATGTTTGCTAGACTATATATAAACTGATAATAACCTCACCCCCAGAACTAGGGAAAATTAGTCAAAATAATCTAAGGATATTGTGCTATTAGGCATGAGGCCTTATAGTTAAATGTACATGGACTATTCAGACAAATGACCCCATTTTTGTTTCATATGTGGCATCTTGACAATACTGCCAATACTTTGCTCTGTCATTTCTACACCTTAGTTAATATTACTACACTGAGGGAAGGTTTTTAGATATAGTGGAAACCAGAGTCTGTAGGGCTATGGAACAGAAGAAACAGTGCTAGACATGGCTACGAGACAGCAACATTGCAGAAGAAAAGAGAGTTAGACCAGTGGAACCTCCAGGTCATTACAGAAGAGAGAGGGTCACTAACACCTGTGGAGCGAGACTGGGGAGATGACGCTGAGCCACAAAGTCAATGGACTCCCTCAGCCTGAAAAGAATGGAAGTATTGCTGCCCCTCCCAGGCAGTTGGTTTTAAAGTTGGAGTGAAGCAAGAATAAAAGGGTTAGGGGTGGAACAGTAACCCCATGGATCCACCCTTGGTTTTGGCCAACCTACTCCTGCTCACCGACAACTACCATGCCCAATGTTGGAGACATCCAACACCCCCCAAAACTGTTACAGGTTAGGTTAGGGGACCAAGGGCCCTGCTGATGTAAGGCCTGGATGCAGCTGGTTCAAATCCCCCCCCTCCCACACCTGCCCCAGGTGGAAGCCCATGCTCCTTTCCCAGTTGCAAAGGAAGGTAACTCTTCAGCCCGCCCCTCTCCAACTGACAGGGTCATGTTCCTTTCTGATCTCCAAGGGAACTCCTACCACCCAGTTTAAAACTGGATAGAAACTAGCTCTAAAATTGTTAGACATTTCCAAGCACCATTTTTGTAGCTGGTTGGCCACTTTTATGGCATGATAATTACTTTGCACCTCCTAGGGGGTAGTTTGGGGTATCACTAGCCCCAGCCTGGGGGTGATTTGGGGCAGGAACATTAGCCCCAGGGCCTCTCTAGTTGCAGAGGGGGTGGGGGGTGGATCACGGGTGGAGGCAGCCCCACCCATTCATCCATACCTTCCACTTCAAGGGCAACCTGCTTGATACGGATGTCCGGGGCATAGGTGATGTAGCAGCGGTAGTTGCCAGTGTCCCGGCTGCTGACTTTGCTGAGTAGCAGGGAGGCATTCCCAGAGCGGAGCCCCTCCAGGCTGAGGGTGGCATCGGGCCGCGTGGATGTCACCTCCTCATCGAACTCCACCAGCGGCCCCCCATGGTAGAACCACTGCACCACCAGCTGGGACAGGTCCACGGGTGGCGACACCACCTTGAACACACACTTGAGCGCCACATCATCCCCTGCCTTCGCTGTTATGGGCGATGGGTCCATTTCCACTGCCAGCTTCCCCGCTGCGCCAGGCCCAGGTCAGAAGGGGAAGAAGGAAAGTGTCAGCATGCTACTCAGGGGAGTCAAGTGTCAGCAAAGCCCCCCACTACCCTCAAAGCCCTTCTTCTGCTCTGAGCATAGGGGTTTCCTCTCAGTAGTTATGGGGGGTCTCCTTCTCCAATGCCCCTGTTCCTCATGCAGCTTTGGGGAGGGAAAGGTTTCCACGGGCAGATTTAGGATTTTAAAAAGGGGGGTATAGCTGGTGTGGTGCATCATCCCATAAAACGCCACACATTTTTCTCCAGGGGAAAAAGGCACTAGAAGCTTTACTTATATGCCAGGGGCCTATGGCTATGTCATTCATTTTAAGAATGAGCCAAAAACAAATATGACTTTATAGGAATGAGTTAAAACAAAAAGAGTCTGCAGAGACAGGAAATTGGAAATTAAAACCTAACTAATTTCTTCGGAAATCTTCATTCCATGAAGTTAATGACCGTCTCTAATGTTTAATGGTCTTGATGTCTACCAATCAGGCTATCCTTTCTTCTACGATTTGGCTGTCTGTTTGCAGCTCCTGTTTCACAGCCCTGCAGCCAGGGATACATTCATTCTCATACATTTCCAGCTATTTGCTTTTTCACGGACAGCCTTTCTTCTACTTTGGAAAACTACTACAGTAGAGTCTCCCTGACTTACATTTGGCTTTTCCCCTCCTCCTTTGCCCCCTCCCTTCTCTTCTCTACCTTTTGCTTTCTTCATTTCCACCTATTCACATTCTCACTGACCTCCTGTCACACTTTTAGCTTCTTTCATTCCTTGAGTCTGAGAACAGCAAAAACTCCCTGTGCCTGAAGTAGGGGGATTGCACCTGAAAGCTTGCAAAGAACTTTTTTCCAGCTACTCAGTTGGTCTAATATAAGGTATCACATCTACCCAAAGAACCTTGCCTGCCTGTGTCCTTAGACCAGCACAGCTACAACCAAATTCTCATGCCTTTATATTTATTTTTGCTTTGATCTTAAATGGGATAATACAGCCCTCAGCCCCCCAGGCACGTTAGTAAAGCTCCTAGTTTCTTTTTACACGGGGAAAAATGTACGCTGCATTCTCTGGGATAGTGCACCGCGCCATCTGCACCCCTCCGCCCTTTCAAAATCCTAGATCTGCCCATGGAGCAGCTAACACAGACAGCCAAATTGCCGAAGAAAGGCTAGCTTGATTTGTGGGCTGATTATTATTAAGGAGGGAGAGTCATTAACACGGGTGAAAGGAGGAGTATAGAAAGAATTGGCTAGGTTTGAATGAGCCATGAATTCAAATGCTGCTTTCACTGCTGCCACCACTGTCAAGCAGTTGGTTTTAAACTTTGGGTAGAGGAGGAATCAAGGGAGGAGGCAAGTAGCTTCCCCCTGGGGGGGTGGGTCTTACCCCAACTGGAGATGGGGGATAAGAGGGGTCCCTATCTACGTCCCTTTGTTGACCTCCCACATCCTGGGAATGGGCAGGGGTGCCTGCTATGAGAGAGGCATGGGATGCCTAATAGGAAGACCCATCTAGCAGTCTCCCTGCTCTTCTCAAGAGATCCCCCCTGCTCCCCAGGGCAGGGGCCCTAGCCAGAGCTACTCACAGGAGGCCCCAAGGAGGCAGAGCAGGGTGAGGAGAATCAGAGTCATGGCGATGTGTGTCAGCTCGGCGGGCTGCAAGGCTTCAACTGGCAGCCCCTGTCCCTCTGTAGGTGTCCCCACGCTGCAGGGTGGGCTGAGCCACCAGTATCAAGTGAAAACAGCTTCCAATGGACTGGGGCAGGTGCAGCCTGTGATAAGGAACATGTTAGCAACCGTCTCCCGCACCCTTTGAGATGCACTCCCAAAGCGGGGAGAAAACATAGGCATCCTGTGGCTGGAGTAGGCTAATGCTATGCAGGCCTTGCAAAGCCTGGCACTTCTGGCTGAACCTCTGTCTGGTCTTGGTAAGCAGCTCCAGCTGGTATGGGTGGCAAAATGGGAGCAAGCTCCAAGAAGCTCAGTGCTCAGCAGGTGTCAAAAAAGGCAAACAACATGTTAGAAGGAAACACGGTACATTTACACATGCATTTACTGCACATTAAATTTACTGTGCAGTAACTTAGTAAGTAGGTTTGGGCCGGTGTCTACACGTGCAGGAGTTAAAGCACAGTAATGCTTGGGACTAAAGTTAGTTGCAAGTCAGTCCACACACACACACACACACACACACACACACAGTGTTACTACACAGTAAGGCATCTACACGTGTGTTACTGCGCAGTAACTAATTGGGCATAAATTTGACACCTGCATGATGCTGGAGGCTGCTAGTGAGAGAGGAAGTGGAGGAAAACACCCTGGGCAGACCAAGGTCACTCGCCCTTTCAGCATCCACTCTCTGCTGCCGTGTGACACGCCATACTGGGCAAGATGAACCCAGGGGCTGCCCCAGTAAATGGCAGTTCTTCTTTTCTTATGTTTAGCAAGCATCTTTAATTTTTTTTTTTTAATTCGTGTCTCAGGTCAAATTAACCAAACTGGTTCCAAATTTCTGGATGGAACAGAGCTCAGTCATTCAAATTTAAGTGGCACTAGCCCTGGCACGTATCCTACCTCCCACATTTTTCAGCCTGTTGCTCTAGGAACACCTATTTCATGAGTCACACCATCAAGCAGGATGTATCTTTGGGGGCTAATGACGGGAGTGTGGCTGAGGGGGTCCTGAGAAGGTGGGGTACTCTGTCAGGGTCGCTGTACTTGGGGAGGGGGTCTTTGGGGGTATCACTGCGGAAGGTGTGGGGAAAGTGGCTTGCAGTCATGGAAAAAGCCATGGGTTCCCAGTGGAGGGCTATAGGGTTCACAGAGGTTCATAAGGAAGGAAAGGGACACAGAGAAGAGTGAGGCAGTGGGATAGGCATCCAGGGAAGTTATGGACCCCCCATCACTGGAGGGGTTCGGGAAGAGTTGGATAAGCTTTGAGTCAGGGATGCTCTAGACATAGCAATGCCTATATTCTACCATGGGGATGTCCCAGGCTTCTGGGCTTTGCTGGTTGCCCCCACACCCCTTTCTGCTCCATGTGCCAGGGGGGTTTAAGCCTCCCCCAGAGGCACTGGGTGTTGGCCCCAGCCTAGAAGGGGGATGGGGACTGGGCTGTGCCAGTGCTCCTGCTGGGACCAAAGCTGGTAGGTCCTGGCTAGAGGGTCTTGCCCCTCTACTGATGCCAGATTTGGAGTCAGGAATGAATTTTACCCCCTGGTCAAATGGGTATGGACTGGGGGGTTTTGCCTGTCTCCGTAGTAGGGCACAGCTTCAACCTGGGATCTCTTGAGCATATATTAACAGCCTGTTACAGCAGCAGGACATTGCTTTACCTGTGGCCGGTGCAGGTGTGATGTCTGCGGTGTGGCAAGATTGACGGTCATCTTATGTAGAGTTGAGATTATGGCTTGGACAGGGCGGATCCTGTGTCAGGCAGGGGGTTGGACCAGATGTGATGTCTGGAGCTCCCCGCTTCTCTGTAATGTCTATGAAAGCCTTCCCTTTCTTCAGCATGGAAGTGAGGTTGGTCTCATCTTGGAGGTTTCTCCACATACTGCCTTTCGTCAGGGGCCTTTCATCAGTGTGTGCCTTTCATCAGAGGCTCTTCCTGACCACCTCGATGATCTGGCAAGCATGCCCTCTTTCTGCTTCCTCTTGACTTGGCATCATTCACCTCCTGCATCATTCACCTTGTGTCTTGTGGATAGTCCACCTCGAGCCAAACGGGTCTGCAATAAGAGGAGAAAACAGGGTTCAGTCCTCGAGCTCTGGGGCAGGACATGTCTGGAAAGGGAATAGCAAAGGGAGAACCACTCCACTCAAAACTTGGGGCTGCAACTGGGCAGAAATGTTGTGAATGGGCCTCGTGCTAATTTTGAAAGCCGCCTGTTAATTTTCCAAAGTCCCTTCAAAATGTTTCTGACATAAACACTGAAAGGGAAACTCCTTTAATGAACAGCTTTGTTGGTTGGTAGAAGGGTCCTTGGCAAACAGAAATCCTGAACCAATGGCTCCAGCTATTTTACTGAGAAGAAAAATAGAGGAGGGAGGTGGGGGGGGGGAATATCTCTTTTTTATGAGCCAGTTTGCTTTTTGCTTCTGAAAAAGAACTGGACATTTTACACCAAGATATTTCCCAAAGCCAAACCCTCTACTTCTCTTTAAACCCTAACCTTTTCCTCTCACTTGACACCTCCTTCCCCTGGAGGAAAAAGGGAAAGCATCATAGGGAAACACCTGGGCACACCTTAGGGGTGCAGCATGGCCACTTGTGTATTTGTTGGGGTTTCAACAGCAGCTGGTGCATTTTAATTGTTAGGTGTGAGCTAAACCCAGGCTCCAGCTTGCAGCTGGGATGGGATGGGATGTTGAACTTGGAGCAGCTTTGCTAGATTTGTAGCTTCCTTCATGTATAGCTACTAGACTACACCAGCTGCTGTCTTGGTGGACCTTTATTTCCCTTGTTAAAATAGCCCCAATGGGATGTGTGCCCTCAGGATTGCTAGCCTGGCATTGCATCCACTCCCCCAAATTGTCTCTAAGGCTTTTGGGCTTTGCTGAGTGACACATGGGACTGGGAGGGAATCCCATCCCCTTCTGCTGCTGCATGAGCCAGGCGGGGTTTTAGGGCTCTTGGTTGTAGCTATGTTCATCTAAGGACATAGGCACAAGGTTTTTTGGGTAAATGTGATATCTTTTACAGTTGGTCTAATAAAAGATATCACATTTATCCAAAGAACCTTACCTGCCAGGGGTTTTTTAGGCCTCCCTCATTGGCACTGGGCCCAGGACGAGGATGGGGACAGAGCTGCCTGGGGAGATAAGCCAGCATGGGTGTGGTGGCAAACAGATGGTGTGGATGCATTTGAAATACTTTGGAGCAGATGCCAGCAGTTGATGCCTATGACTGTGGTGTGTAAAGGAGCCAGGGATAGTCAACATGCTGCAAAGCTTCAACCTTTAAACACCCAGGTTTAAAGTTGGAGCAGCTTTGTAACCCTTTTGAGCCCTTTCCACCCCCAGGCAGAGGGCTGTGAAAGGGGCTGGGAGCTGACCCCCTGCCTATCACCCCCTGACATGGGGTCTGCCCCACTGGTGGCATAAGAAAAAAAGACCAACTTGCCCCCAACCCCATGCCATAAACTGGGATGAACATGCCCCCCTTAAGTCACCTTGTTTTTAACGTGAAAAAAGATCCAGCTCAGCTAGATTTCTTCTTCTTTTTACAAAATAGTTTTAAAAACCTGTTTCAGAAAATAGATTCCTAAAAGTCACTTAATTGCTTTTAAGCACGAAAACACATGATGATTATTTCTAGATTGCTTCATTATATTGGTGCATTGTGCAATACTGCTGAATGCGACTGACACGTCTTGGGCAGACGAGGTTCTTTGGGAAAATGCGATATCTTGTATTACACCAACTAAATAGTCGGAAAAATTGCTCTTTGCCAGCTTTCAGGCACAAACACCCTGCTTTAGGCATAGGGGGAGTCTGCTGGTGTTTTGTGCTCTCCCGAATGGGATAGAGGCCAAGATGCAAAATGCAGGTCTGTGCAAATGCAAATGTGTGGTAGTGAGGAGCAGAGGCCATGGGAGACTATAGGTGTGAGACAGGTTGGGCAGAGAGGAGAAGGTACCTACCCGGTGTTTCCCATGGTCTCTGAGCCTCACTGCCATCATTGCAAATATGGCAGACCATTGCACAGATCAGTGGTTTGCATTTTCACAGACCTGCATTTTGCACGTCAGCTTCTGTTGCACCCTGGAGAACACAAAACACCAGCAGACTCTCCCTGCCCCTGAAGAAGGGTGTTTGTGCCTGAAAGCTTACAAAAAACCCCACAATTTTTCAACTGTTTAGTTGCTCTAATAAAAGATATCGCATTTACCCAAAAAGCCTCATCTGCCTATGCCCTTAGACCCACACGGCTGCCATGTCTTTGTACTCCAAAGCGACAATCAGCAGTAACCACCTGCGGTGAGACAAACTGTGAAACTTGGGTTAACCCTTAAAACTCACCATCCCAAAGAAGTGTCCTGTAAACACTTCCCCTCTCCCGCGGCTCTCTTGATCACCTATAGTTTTACCACTGTGCCTCCACATCCTTCCCATTTTCTTCCTGACCACAAGGCCCCCATCCTATCTCTGATCCCAACACGCTCACGCATTGCTCTCCTTCCTTCAAGACCCCCAAAAGGTCCCTGCTTTGTCTCCTCAGGCCCCATCTCTTGGTCTCCATCCTGGGCATCTCAGGGCAGAGTGTGGAAAGGGAAGGGGGTGGGTATTCAGCCAGAGCTCAGAGTGGGGGATTATGAGAGCTGGGGCTGCGAGGTGTACAAACCCATGGGTTGGGACAGGAGTTGCGGGGTCGGCCTGGAAGGTGGGACCTGTAAGCTTCCCTGTGCTCAGGCAGAGAAAAAGAGAGCTGTGAACAGAGGTGCAGGACAGAAAAATCATAGATTCATAGAAAATGAGGGTTAGAAGGGATCTCAAAGGTTGTGTAGACCAACCCCCTGCTCAAAGCAGGACAATCCTCAACTAGGGCTTTGTTTAGCAGGGTCTTAAAAAGCACTGCTAGCTCATACTGGCTCACTGTTGGACGTGGCTGCCAGCCATCGACTTCATAAAGACCCAGCTGCTACAGGCCAGATGGTTTCCCTTTACTACTGCCAGGAGCTCTGTGCAGGAAATTTTAGGGTGGGTTGAAAGCCGAAAGAGACCAG